TGCAAATGGTTGAATGACACATATTTCAACAAAATAGGTCGATGTCAAAATGAAAAAGAAAATGCTATGAAAGTTGTGTTATTACTTATTTGTTTTTGCTTTCTTCGACCAAACTCAAGGAAATCATGTCTCTTCTCCATTTTTGTATTTAGGTATACATGTAAGTGAAAGCATCAGAGACGAATGGACGCTTCCCACATTGATCTTTGTCGAGTTTAGTCCCTCCTTCATTTCCTGCCTCTGTCTCCCCCTCTCCTCGACTCTCCCTCTCACCCTTTATTGGTCACCACACTCATACGTAGCCGCACACTTGGTTAGTTCCATCCACATTCCACACGGAGATAAAAACCTATAATTAGAGTCGTCTGAATTCCTGCGAATCCCTCCCATCTGTCCCTCAGGTACAGTACAGAGGTTAATCTGCTATCTGAGCGGCAGGTTTGGACGGCAGACTCCTCCTGACCTGATTCTGCTGGCTGGAAATGGAGCAGATGTCTCCAGACGGTTGACCATACCTCTCCTCTCTATCTGGGTAAACAGACACAGTAGATGCACCCTGGATCTCAGAGAAGCAGTTCAAACAGGAAATATAATTGAAGTAAATCCAGGCTGAAGCAAAGAAGTCTCATGGCCGACTTATAAAAAGTGGGCAAGATGGAACAGAAACTCATGTACGAGGTGAAACATATTGCAAAAACTATTTATTGAAAGTGTAATTTCCTAAATGACAGGACGAACCCATCCTGTCTATCTTGAAACAAATAAAGTGGAAACCTTTTTTGAAAACGGAACAAAGCAGCACAAGGTCAATTATTTCCTGAGCAACCACAAATGAAAGAGTTCACAGGAAATCATTAGTTCATAAAACAACTTAGGGACAGTCGAGGACCACAAAAGTTACTGATGCTGAGCACTTCTGCACCATTCTGTTCACTTTTCTGGAAGCTACTTATTTATCATCCCTTGAACTTAGCTTTACACAGGTATTTGATCACTGTCAACATTAAGTTGTCTTTTTGTTATGCAATTGCAAGCAAGGTCTATTAACAAACTTTCCTTGAGACCTGAGATTTGCAAAGCAGCTTGCAGGGAAGCAGCATGCTAGCTGTCTCAAAAACCCAGGTGACAAGCCACACTGGGAACTTTAAAAGATAGTGTGAAAGAGTCAAGCTGAAATTATACTACATTGTTTTAGAATTACAGCACATGTTCCCTTCTTGCAATATTTACGAAAGTGATGCGTGTGTGCAACCCGTGATTAGGAAATGTTATTCCATCATCGTGATGACAGACAGCAAACACAGCTAAAAACACAACCTAATAGTGGAGGTAATGATATCATAATAAATTGTAAAGCTTTAATAGGCCAAACCACTATGGTCTTTAAACGACTCTTATCTTCTATATGCAGAGATTTTCCTGCTAATGGCAGTACCTTAAACAATAATGAATGTTGTGCTGAAACATCAACAGTGTCTTAAATCAGGCAAGTTCTAAAAGGCCCTACATTATGATTAAAGCTAATGAGACAGATATTATTCTGAATTAAACACACTTCCTGCACAGCAGCTTAAAGGCAGCGTGTCTTCTTTCTCTCTGCCGGTAGCTCACTCGCTCACAGTGGCGTGCAGGGATTTAACTATAGCCTTTAATGAAAGCACACCCAGTGAGGTAACTCATGCTCACATGACTCAGCTATGCGTGGAATTCAGGCTTCATTTCTGTTTTGGTTTAGAACCCATTCTTCCCAGGTCCACCTGATTCACAGCTTGAATGATTAAAGAAAAGCATCGTACCATTCAGCAAAGAACCTCTGCAGGCATTTTTCCATCTGCCAAAAATAATATTATGCTTACACAGCAGTATATATTTCTATTGACTATGTACATGCTCCACATAATTCAGCAGGTTCACACCGTGGAATTGGATGTCAGAACAGTTCTTATTGGGTCAGCTCACCTAAATCACAAAAAAGATTTTAGATGTATCTACCCATGCAGATTATTACATTCCTGTCAGAAGCAAGGTGTTTGGATTGTCAGGAGTAATGCAGACATATATCTATTGCTTTAAACTGTAGTAACTGTATTTAAAAAAAAACTGTAACATTAAGGTCAATAAATAACTGCAAAATGTAATCACTTGAAGAAATAAAAAGCAACATGCAACCTCTGGGTCTGAAAAGTGTAGTAATTATTTCTAAAAAGGAAACATATGGGATTAGTTTTGTATCATAAAGATAAAGCAACACTTTCTCAGAATAAAGCAAAACTATGAGTTTAAAAGAAAAAAAAACTGAGTCAAGCAAAATAAAATAAATTTCAAAAATAAAACTATAAGTTGCAAACTAATCATTTGTGTAATCATGTAAACTATAAGTCTTTTTTCTTTGTTTTAACATAGGTTTTTGTTTGCAGTTCTTCTTTCTTCTTTCTCAATGATCAGACTTTTGCTCTCGCTGCAGCTCTCTCATTTGCGCTACTTCCCTTTTTGTTTGACATTCTGACACAAACCTCCCAGGTGGGCGGGACATTCAGGGGTGGGTCCCCATTGGCTACTCAGTTTTTGAGTGACAGCCCAGTCCTCCAGCGATTGTACAGTGCAGGCAGCTGCAGTGCGGTAGCTGAGCGTGGATAGAACACCCGCAGTAGAAGAACCAGCATTTCAATTATTATAATACAAGTGAAAATATATGTAAGTATTGATCATTTGTGTTGTTTGTGCTGTACTATACGGTCTGTTTCTTACGGAGCCCCCTAGGGGACATGGAGAAGAAAATAAAAAGTATTTGAAAAAAATAAAAATAAAAAAGTTTTGCGAGATATCGCAATACTTTTGCGAGATTTCGCAAAACCCCTTTGCGAGATCTTGCAATACTTTTAATTTAGCTCAATATACTTCCTGGTCAGTTCGGCTGCTACGGCAACACAGAAACCACAACAATGGAGCGGTTCATCGATTTTACTTTGAGCTTGGCCTTAAATATAAAGATATAACATCAGTGCTTGGCAATAGGCACGGGTTTCACACATATACTGTATATATAAAGAGTTTCAGAGCTGGTTGATGTCGCCAGGGAAAAGAAAGTTTGGGGCTCTCTGCTGGAACTGCTACCCCCGCGACCCGACCACGGATAAGCGGGAGAAGATGGATGGATGGATGGATGGATGGATGGATAAAGAGTTTCACATAAGTGAAGACACCTCAGGAGAACACTCAGAGCGAGGGGACATGCACGTCCCTCTGAGCTGAGTTATTGACAGATTCGAATTTCGCGGATCAATAACTCATGAACATAACGTTGTAAAAATACAAACAACATGACTTTACAATCATAGCAAGGTAGACAACGAGCTACAGAGTCGTTTTTATCAGAACAGTTCGATACGCGCCGTCATCCGAGCTAAACATCAAGAATCTGCAGCTGGAGGAGGGAGAGGAGTGCTTAGGGACCGTCTACAAACTGCAACGGGGTTTTGCGAGATCTTTTTTTTTTTCTTCTCCATGTCCCCTAGGGGGCTCCGTAGTTTCTTTATTGTGTTAAGTGAGAAGTAAAGCTGTGCTATGAAAGTTAGCTTGTGCTACCTTTAGATCCATAACAATGCAAGCTAAGTAGCCTACAGTTAGCTACATAGCTAGCAGTGAGTGAGCGTTCAGACACGGCGCACACACTCAAACGGACTCGTGTGCCTGACTCTACCAACAGGCTTTCATGATTCTGTTTAGATATGCAAGTATACGCTATGATAGCTTATTTTATTAACATGCTAATTTGACATGAAAATCAATGGAGGCTGAGTTAACTTTGTAGGAAAACCTACCGTCCATGACTTCCCCTGAGCTGTGTTTTATTTGTTAACTTCATATTTTTCATTTCCTAAAACATTATTTTCCTCTCATATTAACAGTGTGGATCATTGAGACAGCGTGGCATCCAGAGTCTTATCCCGTTTTCCCACTTCCTCTGAGGGGACAGCACGGAGGGGGGGGGGGGGGGCATGAAGAAAGACCTGCACCAGCTTCATCCACGCGTTGTTGTTATCACTGGCTCAGTGTCATTTCATTTGACCAAATGTCTTTACATTAATAGATTTTATTATTATTCACCTTTTTGTTTTATGTCCTTTTATTTAAAACATTCTTTGAGACTTCATCTTCTGGTTCAAATTTCAATAAATGTAATTTGTATAATCACTCTTGTGTCTTTATTCTACATGGAAATATTAGAGATTCCATTCAAATATGTTGATTATTCAGATCTTCCTCATGTATGTTGAGTTGTTAATGCTAAATGTATATCATTTTCTCACAGGATATAGAATGAGACAACACAGTTTGTATCCATTGTGTATGAATGCTTCAGCTCTTCAGACCAACACAGTAAGATGTGAGCATGTTCCTAATTGTGTTGGTATGCAGCCTAGGTCTGGTCTGTTTCATAAAACAAATCTGCCACTTTTATATTGCAGAATTTGTTCAATTAAAGCAGTCTTTAATTGTCTGTCCTAAACATAGCAATATATGCTTTTGAAATGTAACATGTCTTTCAAAAAATAACAGTATACAGTTTATATTGTGTATCACCTTTAGCTTGAAAATAAATAGATGTGTTTTTTTTAATCTATAAAATAAATACACTTTTATCAATCCCAAATTGGGAAATTATTTAACAGCAGCAGTGTGTTCAGGTATTAAAATATTTAAAGTTGGAATAAAGTATGAACTACACATCACAAGTATAATGCACTGCAATCCATAAAATGAGTCCGATATGTTCATGAAACTCCCCAGGAGACACCGACACTAACGTGGCGAGTGGACTCTGGAGTTTGCTGCATGAGTTGCACTGTATGATCTGTGGTGTAGTGGGCTGTCACTCAAAAACTGAGTAGCCAATGGGGACGCACCCCTGAAAGTCCCGCCCACCTGGGATGTTTGGCCCATTCCTAAACCGCCCCCTACACCCTACTCCTCCGTTTGCACGTTCACGCGAAGGGTCTGCCATATTGAGGGCTGGTCCAAAGCAATCAGGGCGGAGGCGTAGTGGGTTATAAAAGCCTCCGACAGCGAGTTTGCATGGATGCAGGTGTCAGTACCAGATATGTTCGGGCTACCAGATATGTTCGGGTGTATGGAGAGGCGAAGTCACGCCCATCTACTTCCGGACCATGGGACCCCGGAAGCGAAAAATGTACATTGAATTCAATGGAGAGAGAACACATATCTTTTGATCCCGTTTGAATTGTGCCACGAACTACACATATGATGTTTGTCAATATTAAACAATCATTTCCATGTCAAAAAAGTCACATTTTGTCGTAAAACTGCTGAAATATAAGACTATGAAAAATACGCTACTACAAAGACTACAAATCCCAAATCCCATTCTGGGTCGCGTAAGTGATGTCACAGGCATGCTCGGTGATTTATAATAAGACTCGTAATTAAAGCGAAGAAGAAGAAGATCTCATAACTGATGTATTCCCTCCAATAAATTATAGATCGCTAAAAATAAATTCACTTTTACAAGATGCCTGTGTGCTTTGTACCAGGTTGTAGTCATAAAAGTGATCATACCACTTGCTCCTTCTATCGATTCCCGTCTGATGAAAGGACCAGGAGTCGCTGGATCAGACATATCAGGTAATATCATAGGTAATATACATGTTGTGCATGTTCATGTGCATAGTCAAGTTAGCTACCTAGCTAGTAGCGACGAGTAGCGAGCACGTTAGTTAGCATTACATTACTTAGCCTTGTCATTTTTAGTAGCCTTACCATTAAGTTATTATTTTATTACATGAAGTAAACCAAAATGTTAAACAGTAACCAAACATGATGGTAAGTATTTCGTGAAACATTTGAAGAGTAGCCTACTGCGCCCTCCACCGGGTGCTAAGGAAGCAGTTCAGGGAGAGTCGAAGGCAGGCAGGGAGCTTTGCATGACATTCTTCTGGACGTGTTTCATTGTGATGACAATCTGTTTGTTGGAAAGACAGTCGTTGTGTGCTTATTGACAGAAAATTGTTAGAAGAGATAATTATTCAAAGTGTTGTTACTTTAAAGTGTTGTTACTCTTTTATTTTCTTTACCTCACCTGTAACTGCTGAGACGTTGAGGAACATGCACACTGACCTGCTCTGGCAACCTGATTTCCACTGTACGTAATAGTATTTGGTTATGGTATATTATTTATATACATCAAAGGCACAATGCACCCCCCAGAGACACACATGTATTGAGTGTGATATTTTGCATAGGTCATGTGAAATCATCTTTACATACTAGAAAACTGTAGGAGCGGCAACTTGTTTTGAAATTGAATTTTTAATATCCGATAATAAAGTTGATCTGTTTTCTTTATTCTTCTCTCTTCCCAGCTCCATCCATCACCATTCTCTGTTCCTGCAGGTCCTGCTTGCTAATCAATGCTCATATTTTTTTACACAATTACAAATAAAGTCATTGTATTGTATGACATGAAGTTGTGCTTCATTCGGAGTCAATAATAAATTCATTCTGCCTTCAACTGCGCAATGATTGTGGACTGCACCGACATCCATGTAGCTGCCCCCCAGTAAGATGAACCAAGCAAAAAGGGTCACCATCATGCCCAAGGACATCCAGCTGGCCCGCCGCATCCGCGGAGAGAGGGCTTAGACTGACCTGAGACCAGCACACCCAAACACACGGCTCTTTTAAGAGCCACCTACATTTTCAAAGAGTTGCAATCCTACGTTATTATAATGATTAAACTGGTTCATGTATCACTTAGTTTACTGAACCGTGATTAATGAAAGTGAAATGAGTGAGGTAGTGGTTTACTGAAGTTACAAAGACATTAATATATGAGTAACAGGTCAGTGTAAACACAAGCTTCTGTCAATTATGGATCATTCAAACTATTTATATAAAAATATGTAATAAAGTTCTAAAACAAGTATTCGGTATATTCCTTGATAGCTTTTGGAGAAGGTTGTTTTTAAGTTTACTAAAATCTATCGTTTCAACTGTTTCACTTTATAAAAAGGGAACAGGTGAGTAGAGCATCATTGAGTTTCTTATTCTGTCAGTAAATTATCCAAATGAATGTTTTTCATTATTTTAGTCAACCATAAACAAATTGATTGTACCTTTTAATGATGACCTTACATGGTTGGCAAAGTTAAATTAACTTCAGAAAATCAAATCTGTTCTGAGAAAAAACTAATAAATGTTTAAAGATAGGAACTTGCCATCCCACTGAAAAACAGTCCGTAGAGATTTAAAGGCATAGTTGTAGTTCAATCCAACGTTTCATTTGGATTCATTTGACAACAGTCAACTATTTTCATAAAGAATATATATATTTTTCAAAGTCAACGTTATTGTCAATCTTACTCAGTTTGAGAGATCAAAAAGATGTTTAAATAAAATTATACAATTTACAGATATGTATACAAATATATATATCCTATATACACCATCATGTATAATGATGGTGTATGATGTAGAAGGAAGTGTGTTAGATAACAAGTAAATATAGAGTTACATACATATCCATGTTACAGCAAAAGATGGAATAACTCAGAAGCACGCAGTATAATAATAATTACATGCAACAATTAAATAACTGCTCAGCATCTCCACCACAATCCCAATCTGCTGTGTCCTGTTTTCCTCCCCTCTGCATAACACCCCATCACACATACGAAACACAACGCAGAGTCCGAGGGTGTTAAGAGTATGTTTATTGAAATGTCCTCCTCTCTACTGGCCAACACAGGGAGCATATGCTGGGTGTAGAATTGTTCCAGGAGGAGGAGATTTCCATGCCATGCAGGGTCTTTGGGGATGGGGATGATGATCGCCTCCTTCGTGGTCCACACAACAAAGTAGCAGAGACTCCGGTCTGTGATATGCAGCTGCCCTTGGACCTGATGCCAGTATGGGTGATTCTCCTTGAGAATATATGACCCACCCTCCTCACGGAGACAGAAGGATGGTAACTGGACTGCCTCCGCGATGGTCATGTTCCTCTGGCTGTGTGGACACTTCACCTCCAGCAGGGCAGATGGCTGCACAAGTCCATCGGGTGATGCTCCCAAAACACCCGACTCACTCACAAAGAGACCAGACTCGATTCGAACACTGTCACTTGATAGGCCTCCACAAAAGCCTCCACAAAAGCCTTCACCCCTTCGGCTTCGTTTACAACCCCCCAGTTGACAGTTGGCGATGTCTCTGGCCAGTGGGTTGTATGTCTCCTCTCGCTGTTGGTAAAGTTGAGACACCGGCTGGACTACTTTTTAAGTGCCAGGCTTCCTCCACTGGCACTCACATCTGTGGAGCTGATCTGCCACATGGCAAATATTGCCAATGCTGCAGCGTGGCTGCATTTGTACATCCCCCGTGCACAATCACAGACAGCGCTCTGCATCGCGCCATCGTCTCCCATGCAGATCTGTAAAAATAAAGTAAGTACCATTTGTTAGCATGCTATAATAGATTGAATGAGCAATAATACAAGGATGGTCCGGATCTGGGGGTGGGAGGGTTTATTTTTCCATAGTTTTGTCCTCTTGTCTGTTGTTATTGTTTGTTTTTTCTGTATTTTTTGTAATTTGTGTTGTATTGGTTGTGATTGTACATTGTATTTTTCTAAATGTGTATGAATACATTTTTGAAAAACATTTGATCAACAATAAAAAAGGATTTGGTCAGGATCTAGACTCAGTGTGTAGTTTATTAATTAATCAATGCTCTCTACATTAGGAAAACACATACCAGTGTACCAGAGGGAGTCACACACAGCTGTGCCTAGATAACCAAAATCCTTGAATCTACACACAGCAAATAAAGTCAAATGACACAACGAGAAAAAGGAGATCACACATACAGTATAATCGATATAAAACTGGCCGCTTCAATCTGAAGAGCAACTAAAACAAAACACGGGAGTGCACCTTGTTCTTGTGAACACTAATGTTATCCACAGCATACACAGAGACCACGAAGTTCTTAAGGAGAAAACTAGTTGCTAAAACAAAACACGTTAGTGTACCTTGTTAGCTAATGTTAGCTAGCTGACATTAACGTTAAACATTGCACTCATATTACTCACCGAAACCTTGTAAAGCCGGTCCCGCATGCTGGCTCTTGCAGAACCGACTAACTCCCCTTTCATATAGGTACAGCTCTCAACTTGCCCAGACTTGTAGTGATTTTCACCTCGTAAAATAATTGTATTCTCATTCTGAAAGAATGTGGTGAAATGTGCTAACGTGACGGCCATCTTTATGTTGGTGACGCGTATTGTGCGAGACCAGAGACCTGTAGTTCACTGAGCGGTTTCACACAAAAAAATGTGTAACTTCACAGTTTTACAAGGGGGAGGCGTGTGGTGCAGTGGGTTGTGAGTTGGTATTCGGATCAGGAGGTCACAGGTTCAAACCCCACTGCAGTCAGCATGTCGTTGTGTCCCTGGGCAAGACACTTCACCCCAAATTGCTCCTGTGGGGATTGCCCACAGTATTGAGTATGTAAGTCGCTTTGGATAAAAGCGTCTAACAAGTGACATGTAATGTACAACACATTTTTATTTTTTTGACTTGCAAAATGTTCTATTAAATTGACAAACATCATATGTGTCATTCGTGGCACAATTCAAACGGGATCAAAAGATAACCTTTCTCTCTCCATTGACTTCAATGTATAATTTTCCGCTTCCGGGGTCCCATGGAGGCTTTCGGAAGGGGAGGGACTTCGCCTCTCCATTTCCGTCGCATCCGTCATGTCCGTCTACTCACCTCCCTCTGCTCCCAGCGCTCTGCTGCCACACACCGACCGTCTGCGGAACTGCAGCCGGAGGAACTCGGGACAGCTTGTTATGTGTGGGGTGCTATGGTGGGGTCCCATGTACTTGTGCACATAAATAATGTTTCTAATTATTTACAATTAAAAATATATATATTCTGCGTTACTTTAGCCAACACTTTTATAAGGCCACTAGATTAGATAATTACGAAATGTGTGGATAGAATACATATCTTTCAGGTTGTTATTTTGTCATTATGTTTAATGTTTTATTTACCTTTTAGTATTTTTATATAGTATCTGAACTTTGGAGAGGAGTTGGGAGACACACGACACATCAAATCACATCTAAAGATCAAGACGAAGCGAATGGAAGTACTCCCATACTCCTAGCGTATAAATGTTTGTGAAAACGTGTGCAAAGTCTCCGAAAATCCTAAAAATAAGCTCATATTTGAATTCCCCATAAAAAAACACATCATTCAGTAAAAACAAGGCCCCACTGATCATCTACTCTCTGAGACGATTCCAGGGATGTATGGCTTGAGTTTCTACCACCAGGGAAAGTGGACAAAAGTGCCCGAGATAAGCCTCTTAATTTACCCAGGGCCTAGTGCTTGGCTTTTGGCATGAACATTCAGGAAACTCCCCTGAGTATTTTATTAAATCTCTGAACTTTGGAGAGGAGTTGGGGGACACACGACACATCAAATCACATCTACAGATCAAGACGAAGCGACTGGAAGTACTCCTAGCGTGAAAATGTTTGTGAAAAACGTGTCCAAAGTCTCCGAAAACGGAGCAGTGGCTGTGATGCTAGCTTTGCGGCTAGCGGTTAGTTGTTATTGTTTGAAGTTGTTGCTATGGAAACAACATGACGGAGAACAAATTAATATCTTCTACATATAATAACGGACAAAGTAAAGAATGAAGTGTAGGCTATGCCTGTTTGAAGTTGTTGCTATGGAAACAATATGACGGAGAAAAAGTATAATCTTCTACATATAATAACGGACAAAGTAAAGAATGAAGTGTCGGCTATGTTTAAATGTTCGGAATTTGACCGTGATGGCCCTCTTGAGTTGCCGTAAAATATGACGAATATGACGGACGACGGAAATACACCCGAACATATCTGGTACTGACAGGGGCTGCTTCTCAGGTCGATTAAATGAAATCCTTGCTTCCCTCACTTGCGTCGTTTCCCTGCGTTTAGTCCCTCCCACCAGGGAAGCATAGAGGGACGCAAGGAAACCACGAGAAGCAGGGAAATGAGTTTTAAGAGCAATGGGACGTCCTTTCCTCCGGAGCGTCACGTGAAGCGACGTCCGTTTGTGATGACGCTGCACAGCTGATCGTCTGACAGCAGCCAGCTCTGTCCCTGTTGTTTCCACACACCCCCCCGCCTCTGTTAGTACACATTTACTGACACAAACATTTGTATCATCTGTTGTAGATCCCAATAAATAAAATAAAATAAGAACTAATTCTCAAAAAAGATAAACGCCATTCTTAAAATGTATAAACGAACAATAGTTTGATTAATATTGATTAGAGTACACAAAAGAAACAAAATAATTGAGAGAAGAAAAAGAGATATGTTATCTATCAAAACCCAGTTAGATTAACATTCATTGGATTGCACACTTTGTTTGTTTGTTTGGATATGTAGTAAATTAACATTTCAATAGCACTTAATGACTGACTGAATGGAAATGACAATAAATGAAAATGTAAAACGAAAAAAGCGATCATGAAAATGTTTCCAACAAATGAATAAAATGATTTTTGACCACTTTGTTGTTCAGATATATCACATATGTGTAACTAAATGAAACAGGAATTGAAACAAAACACGGTATAAACTGAGGAGTGACTCCCGTGAGGTTCGTGTATTTTCTTCACTCTGCTCTCATGTCAAGAAGCATGAGATCAGTGCATGCACTGCATCGTCCAATCAGTGAGCGATACACAGTAAGGGGGCGGGGCGAGTATCTGAGGATTTCATCGGAGGATGGTCTGGTGGTTCCTCCATTATCGCTCCTCCATTATCGCTCCTCGCTCCTCGATCCTCGGTCCTCCGGCAGAAATAAGAGCCATGGGACGGTACTCAAGATGGCGCAGACAAATCAACTTCCGGTGAGACCGAGGACCGAGGAGCGAGGAAATGAAAATAGTCGACCTGAGAAGCAGCCACAGGCTTGATAATCTCACTCCACAGGTGTGCAACCGTTTTTCGGGCATGGAGGAAACAACGTCATACAAATGTGAGTTCCATGTGGTTATTTTTTTAAATGATAAATAATACGTTGCCTTAACTAAAACCTGCCTTTGTGAACATGTATCTATAAATCTACACGTGTTAATTTGATTTGCCAAGATTACATTAGATTTTTATTTTGAAGATGTACAAATCTAAATCGGAATTAAACTAACAACACATGTGTCAATTCATGTATCCATTCACTTACGAAATCGGTTTAAACTTAAGTGTGATTTGTAATTTCAGGGACTGTGGTAAAAACCAAGGCACTTAAAGAATGGACAAGGACGACCTGTTCTGCAAAAAACGCAATGCTGCCAAAGAAGCATGGGAGTGAGTTATGCACTCAATTCATATTTTGTGCAATGAAAGTAATGAATGTGCACTGTGGGTCATTGCCTTAACAACAATATATATTGTTTAAATATTCTATGATAACAGGTCAATCATTAAGGAACTGGACCTTGGGCAACATGTGTCTCACAAACAGGCCTCCAAGAAATGGGAGAACCTAAAAAAGAAATACAAGGTAAATGGTGTATTGTTATTGTAAAACATGTTTGTTTTTGAAAAAGCTGAACAAAGATTTCTAACATGCATTTGTTTGCAATAGGAACTTAAAAGGCCAAGGACTGGAACAGGGACTGATCAGGGGGAAGAAACCCCTGCAACATGGCCCTTCTTCATGGCCATGGATGAGGCCATAGGTGCAAGGCCTTCAATTAGTCCTCCTGTCCTTGTTGCCTCAGCCTTGGCAAACCCCACAATCCTCTTTGATCCGGAGGCTGCTTCCTGCTCCTCTTCCTTCCCCCCCCCAAATGTGGCTGATGATCAAGACCCCTCACCACCCTCATCACTGTCTGAGGCTGGAACCACCCAGCAGCCCCCCCCCAAAAAAGAAAAGGTGCTATGGGAGTGCTGGAGTGCCTAGAACGCGAGGCTACATTGTTCTGTGTGGGTTTCATAATGTAGAAGGAAAAGTTTTGCACAAAGTAATGTTGTGCACGGAACTAAAGTGTTTTTCCAAAGTCTGAAGATTAACCCTGAATATCAGCATTTTAAATAAAGATATCTCTGTGCGCTTCATAGGTATAAGGCATTAAAATATACATGACATTTACGGTCTTAATTGCTCATGTCAAACCATTTGCAGAGTTTCACTCAAAAACTAAAGTGATTGTATTAGAAGACCTGTGTTCATTTTCTGAACCTTTGCTCTGTGCTCGTGATTGAATGATCCAAGAGGTAAGGACATTTGTCTCCAATTTGGGATTATGCAGAAAGACAATTCAGGAAAACCAAGTTTGAAATCAACGGTGCACAGGTTTATTTTATTTCACCTCTTTTCTCTAAAGTGAGAAGTGGAGCTCACTAAAACAAACAAAATTAAATCAGGTATGTGTGCACATCATTTCAAAAACACAAGTTAACAGACAACCACGTTTTTCCAAAAAAAAACAAAGTTCATTAGATGTAATCGTGCTCTCTCAGGTGTGGTGCCATTTGGACAGGAGCAGAGAGTTGTGCAGCAATCCTGTTCCTTAGGTGGTGTCCAGGACTTTCCTGTCCACATGCTGCGGCAGGGGGAGGACTCTGGTCCCCATCTTCAGGGGGGAAGGCTTCAGCATCCTCAAGGACATCGTTCATGTCTATGCACAGATTGTGCAGAAATGCACAACATGCAATGATGTCAGGGGCAAAGCTTGGACTGACCTCCAGCGCTTTGAAAAGGGTGGCCCTCCAGCGAGCCTTCATCCTTCCAAATGCTCTTTCCACCACAGACCGAGCCCTGGCATGATGCCTGTTGAATCTGGCCTGCACCTGGCCGCGAGGGACCTTGTAGGGTGTGAGTAATCCCACTGGTTTTTCCAGGCAGGGATAACCACCGTCCCCAAGGAGGAACCAACCAGCTGGGGGAAACAGTGCCTGGCAGAAGATGGGGCTGTTTCGCAGTACTCTGGCATCATGAACGGAGCCTGGATAGCCGATGAAGACATCCAGGAATCTCCCAGTTGAGTCACAGATGGCCTGCATCTGGATGGAAGGAAACAGCTTGTAATTGATGTACTCCTTGTGGTACTCGTTTCCTGGAGGTTTGATGCGAATATGGCATCCATCAATCGCACCAGCAGCACGGTGAAATGCAGGACTCTTTGCAAGCTGACAGAAGCCATCTGCAATCTCTGGCAGCTCATCTGGGGTTGGCAGGGAAATGAGGGTCTTCAGGTTGGCCTTTATCTTCCCGGTGACGTGTTTGATGATCCTGTGGACCGTCGATTTGGGAATCCCGAATGCTGAACCCACCACAGAGAGTGATAGTCCATGGGCCAAGCTGTAGAGGAGAACAAGCACCTCGATGTCTTGTCCCCATCCGTGGTCCTTTGGGGAGGAAAGCATCTGCACTAAATACACCACACTAGATCGCTTAACTCTAAAGTCCTTCTTTAGACAGGCTTCAGGGTTGGCATACACGGCGAGAATTGGGGCAGTGGCATTGAGCTGCATGTAAAGACCTTTGCCCCCCTGTAAAAGACAACACAGGACACAGTATTGTTCAATAACTATACTCCAACACCACACACACACACACACACACACACACACACACACACACACACACACACACACACACACACACACCCACACACACACACACACACACACACACACACACACACACACAGCTCTGTAAACAATTCTGAGACCAAGTCAAATTAACCTTTCCTTTTTTATTCTATAAACTACTGACAACATTTCTCTGTGTTGGAATTCTACAGACACTATACAGATATACACGTATAGCTTATAAGGAAAGAATAAATGAATGTATATCACAATATATCTAAATATCTATTTGTATTACACATACAAAGTTCATAGGCTACTATATAAGAAATAAAGTGAAGATAATTGTTGTATTAGCAATATTGAAATGTTTACCTGCCACTGGCACATCGCTAAAATGCGCCTCAACCTTCTGCGCCTTCTGTTGGATCTTGCCATTGCACCCGCTAACAGGCGACGGATAGCAACGCAGGTCAATGCAGCCGACAGATGGAGATGTGAGTTGGACACCATGACGTCCGTTTCCGTTTCCTGCGGAGAGTGGGGAGGCCGTCCCAAAGCTTGCCGCTGTATTTATACCCTTAACCCTTAATGGAGGGAACTTCATTCAGCTGTGAGTGTGCCTACAGACGGAGTTCACTCCGTCACGGAGGGGGAGGGTCGAGGGAGTGGTTTGGGATTGGGCCGTATTGTCAGAATCTCAAACAAAAAATGAGGGAGCGCAAACGAGAGAGCTGCAGCGAGAGCAAAAGTCTGATCATTGAGAAAGAAGAAACAAAAACCTATGTTAAAACAAAGAAAAAAGACTTATAGTTTACATGATTACACAAATGATTTGTTTGCAACTTATATTTTTATTTTTGAAATTTATTTTATTTTGCTTGACTCAGTTTTTTTTTCTTTTAAACTCATAGTTTTGCTTTATTCTGAGAAAGTGTTGCTTTATCTTTATGATACAAAACTAATCCCATAGAATAAGATTGTATAAAAGTCTATGAAAAAATAACCATACTGTACTTCCTACTTGATCTAATACCTCAGTCGAGTTTGTTTTTTTGAGCCTTTGTTCTCTAGTCTTTTTTATCCAGCACAATGTTCATATTATAAATGATTGTCCCAATATTGTAGACAATATGTTTTAGGACAGGGCTACCTTGCGATTGATAGGCAACAGAAACAGAAATTCCAACAGTTTAAAGAGCTTAATAATAGCTCTATAGAAACACTCAGATGTCTACGGTCGCTCGCACAGTGTATCTGTTTTCGACTAAAAGTTAACTCTTTCACGGTTTGCTTTAAATGTATGAAAGGTAATTACAAAAAAAGGTTGATTCCAGCATCCACTAACCCTAACCCCTCGTGTCACTTCCAGTTTATAAAAACTAAGACAGTATGGCAATAACACCAGACTCTAGACATAACTTTGGCTATTTCTTCTTTACAGTCAATGGATAAGATGGATCATATATATTGTGAAATCTGGGTCAACTGACCTTTTAAAGAAGCATCATTACATGCTTCACTGATATACATGAGCAGATCCTGTACACCTGCAAATTCACCATGCAGCACAATGTTGCATTCTTATGTATGTGTTCACACAAGGAAACACAACACAAAGTGAGTGTGTGACCCTTGCACAAAGTCCTGAGAACTCGGAGAGGTGATACTTCTGCAATACTAGAAGTGATGAAATAACCATGAAGGACTCCCACAGGACACACACGGCGGAGTGAGGCAACAGCATCTGTTCTACAGGCACAAACACACAAACATGAATACTCATGCAGACACACACATACACACAAATGGAAATACACACATGTACAAACGCCAACTTCTTTCTCACAATCCCTACAACAAATCTCAACTCTAATGATGACTGATTTTAGTATTCATACATATTTCACTCCATCTCCTTTCCAACATAATATGAGTGACAGATGGTGAAAACAATAGTCTTTCTCAAAATATGGAGGAGGGAAACACATGGCTCAGTATTGAAATTCCTGAATATTTGGTTTTGTTGTGTCTGAGTCTGCTGGAGAGTTTAATGCCAGTGCTTCTAATGGGTCCCATAGGGAAACCAGAGAGAGCCATTACTATCACCTTTCTATTGTCACACTGGAATACAGTTTCAACCTCTGAGGGCAGGTTTCAACAAAGGGTGAAGACAGACACATTCTGCAAACGCATACATATTTAACCACACTCATTTGCAAATATAAGGTAAAACAAACAAACACATAGCTTTTTCTGTGGAACCCAGTACACGGATGGAGAAAACATTGTAACAAGTCATTAGAAAGGAGAATAAGGTAACTTGATCAGATGCTGGAGTCAATCAGGAGCATGTCAGCCATAGAGAGGTCTGTCAATCAGCGCAAATTAATCTCAATTTCAAATGTGCAAATCTAAAACAGCTTCTGAATGATTTAACATGGCAAGCGAACAGACTTGAAACCAGAGTCACATTGGCGATCAAAAACGACCTATGTGATCATCTTTTGACCTGTTGACAAATGTTGAAAAAAAAGATTAATATACGGTAAGCATTTTATGACTTACCACCACCCTAAAACCAAACCAGCAGCCGGTAATTTCAGGTGTCTGCGCTAACATGTTGCTGTTGTTTTTCTGGGCACCATCTCATTGAAATGTGCGCTTAACTTAATTAACTAAAGCTAAAACAGACATATCTTGTTATTTTACAACAAAAAACTCACCTTTGTAGAACTGTTTCGTTTTTTATGGTGTTATTTATTTGATACAGAGCCCCTCATCTATTAATAACAAATAGATGCAAAAAAATTAAGAGAATAAATACAGAGAATTATATAATCATAATATATATATGATACAAAATATAGTGCAGTTAAATCTGAAAGAAGGCTGTATTAAAAATCCTTTTTCATGAAGGGTTCATATAATTTTATCTCCCCCCTCTAGTTCTTTAATGAAGCCCGGCTTTCTTCTCCATTGGGCACATCTCGCATTAATCAACTTTCTGTCCGGCCCATAATACAGCCATTGTACATGACAGGCTGCAGAATGTAATCTACAGCGGAGCAGTAAATGAGACGCCCTTCAGCCGATGTGACAGGACCCTCTGTGGGCTGCACTCCTTCCCTTGAACCTCTGAGCCTTCAGCGGGCTTGCTCAGCTGGAATGGGCTCTTCAGGACAAGGTCAGAAGTTCAAACAAGAGCATCTCATCAAGCAGTCGCATGTCTTCAGAGTTAAAGGCTGAAGACAGTGTGTG